TGCCCTGTTTCCTATTTGAAGGCTTTGTGGGAAGGAGGTAGCCTGCATGGGATGTTACAAGTGGTGTGGTAGTGTATGGATTACTTCCCTTGCTTCTGTGAGCAAATGCTTGTCAAAAGCAATTTAAGGCAGAAAATATTTGGCTTGGCTTATAGGTTGGAAAAAACTCAGTCCATCAAGGACTGTTCTTTGCAATTGAGAGCAGGTGGCAGCTAGTTACAGCATGTTGACACGAATAGGTGAGAGATGCATGTTGGTACTCAGGTGGCCATGTCCTTTCTCTTTTTTCTTTTACATCATCTTTCCAGCAACATTCATGATGAGTCTTTATTTGGAAACAGAAGGCCTTAAGGAAAAATTTAAGTTTAGAAAATGCAATGATGATGTGGATATCAGGTATGACTCAGCTAAACAAAGGCTGGCATTGGCCATCAAGTGGTATATGAATCTGCATTTTAGACCAATCATTTTAGACCAATCCTTGATGCCTGGGGAAAATCCAAAAGGTAAACAGTTACATAATCTGTTATATAATTATTCCTGGCAGAATGCACTTTTATGTAATTTCTATATAAATACAGCTTTGAGGTTAGAGATCTTATTTAACCTTTGCCTAAGCCTTTGCCAGCATGGCTACATGTTTTTGTCTATAGGCCAGTATGCCTACTTCCTTTCATCCTATGTGCAGATATGTGTGTCTCCTATTGATGAAGTATAGTCCATGTGTGCCTGAGTGCCTGACAGCAGCCCTCACATAGAATGAATAAAATATGTCCTGATAATCTACAATTCTTTGCAATCTATTCAGCTTCCCAGACCTCCCATGGCCTTCCTTTATCAACATTAGAACACTGAGCATCTAGTTTTTCCTCTAGTAGTCCTTTCTTGAAATGTCCTTAGAGCCATGCCTAGAGAGGGATGTCATTAATGCCCTAGGTGCTTCTTAATCTAATCAAATTAACAATTGAGAACCATGGGGGCTGCTAGATGGTGTGTATAAAGTGTGTGTGTGTGTGTGTGTGTGTGTGTGTGTGTGTGTGTGTGTGTGTGTTATGTTATATTCACAAGAGTCCTGGGAAACAGGCAGGGCCTGCATTGTGCAGAAACTTATTTATTGACCACTTTTTGAAGCAAAGTCAGTTGTCAGTGGTTTAAAGAAGGGACTTAAAAAACTCTAGTGGGGTTTGAAAAGGAGAAATAGCTGGAGGCACTTAAAGCCATGTAAGAGTTTAAGATTATAACTTTAACTAGGAGAGTATTTTGGAGAAAGTACAGAGGTTAAAAGATTCATATGAAATTTGGTTTCTTCCCCAAAAGAATTTGTGATCTGTTTCAGGTATCAAGACTCTATCTGTTGGGAACTGTCAAGAAACAGATGGCCCATCCAGAAAGGGCAATTAAGGTGAGGTTAATGATCTGACTCTTTCAAGTTGGAAAAGTTTAAGAGAATCAACAAGACATGAGGAAGTATCTCAGAATTAGAATCTGTGACTATCAGCGGACTGGAAGGGGTAAGAAAATGGAGTGAGTGTGATTTAGACAAAGCCACCAGAGAGGACCCCTGGCTTTAAAGAGAGGAGTTCAGTCTCCATAAAATTGCTTCTAAAATGTGGAGAACAGTGAGGGAAAAACTTGCTCTGGAAATGAGAGGCCAAAAACTTGGATTTTGCAACTCATACCAATCAGCCTTCTAGGTACCAGGCACAGTGAAGAAAGTAGAGAGAATATATCCCATGGGGGAAAGTGGAAACACATTAGTGAATCAGAGATAGGAATGATTGAACAATATCATTTACTGATGAGGAAGCTAGAAATTTCATGCTGTGAAAAAAAATTTCTCCATCTGGTTCTATCTGGATGATATCTTATTGAAATTCTTAATAGAATTCTTTTCAATTTTTTGACCTTTTAAAGAATGTCTTTGCTGACTTGAGAGAGTAGAAAGTTGAGCTTATACACTTATATCACCATTTTGCATAAGATGTTAGTAGAATATAACTGCCAGGAATAAGCAGTCATCCATTTAACATCGATGCTCATCTGGGTCATGAAATGACAGCCTCAAATTCTATCATTCACCTGAAAACAGAGAGCAGAGTAGCAGGCTTCTCATGAAGAAATAATCATTTATTTGGAGAGAAAACCATAAAAATTTTACTGTGTAATTTTAATGATTTATTTTTAAATTAGTAGACCTAGTAAAACTGAGTTAAAAAACTAATTAACAATGTAAATATTCATTCTAAATTTCAAATGTTAGAGAAATGCTGAGACAATAATTTTATTTAGAATCTGAGAACTCAATTTATGACCATGGGAAGGAAACTAATAAAATTGTATCAAATATTGGGAAAATTACATACACACACACACACACACACACACACACACACACACACACACACAAATTAAAGCAGAAAATTATACTACCATCCAAACATAAAATACTTACTTGAAACTTCATTGTGTTAGAGGAACAAACTTAGGCACTTAGTGCCCTAATTCTGTTTCCATGTAAATTCAAAGGAAAGGTGCAAATAAAAAAGTCTTTCATTAATTTTAGGAACTCTTGGTATACTGTTTTCTCTTTATGACAAGTTTGGAATAGAAAGTACTTTTAGTTGAGGGTCATCTAGGTTGCTTCCAGGTTCTGGCTATTACAAATATGCTCCTATGAACAGAGTTGAACACATGTCCTTATTGTATGAATGTGCATTCTTTGGGTATATACCCAAGAGAGGAATTGCTGTATCTTGAGGTAGACTGATTCCCATTTTCCTGAGAAACTGCCATACTGATTTCCAAAGTGGTTGTACAATTTTGCACTCCCACCAGCAATGGAAGAGTGTTACCCTTTCTCCACAACCTCTCCAGCATAGACTGGCATTGGTGTTATTGATTTTAGCCATTCTGATAGGAGTAGGATGGTATCTCAGAGTGGTTTTGAACTGCATTTCCTTGATGGCTAAGGATGTTGAGCACTTTCTTAAGTGTCTTTCAGCCATTTTAGATTCCTCTGTTGAGAATTTTCTACTTAGTTCTGCACTAAACTTTTTAATTTCATTGTTTGGTGTTTTGGTGGCTAGCTTCTTGAGTTCATTGTATATTTTGGTGATGAGCTCTCTGTCAGATGAGGGGTTGGTGAATATCTTTTCCGATTCTGTGGGCTGCCGTTTTGTCTTGTTGACTGTGTCCTTTGCCTTACAGAAGCTATTCAGTTTCAGGAGATCCCATTTATTAATTGTCAATCTCACTGTGCTACTGGTGTTATGTTTAGGAAGCAGTGTCTTGTACCAATTTTTCCTGAGGGTATCACCTACCTTCTCTTCTAGGAGGTTCAGTGTGTGGCTGGATTTATGTTGAAGTCTTTGATCCATTTCGACTTAAGTTTTGTGCTTGGCGATAGATATAGACCTATCTGTAATTTTCTACATGCCTGAATCCAGTTATGCCAACACCATTTGTTGAAGATGCTTTCTTTTTTCCATTGTATAACTTTAGCTTTGTCAAAAATCAGGTGTTCATAGGTGTGTGGGTTAATATCAGTTTTTTTTTCAATTCTATTCCATTGGCCAACCTATTTTTGTGCCAATACCAAGCTGTTTTCAGGACTATGGCTCTATAATATAGCTTGAAGTCAGGGATGGTGATGCCTCCTGGAGTTCCAAGTTCCTTTATTGTACAGGGTTGCTTTTGCTACCCTGTTTTTTTTTTTTGTTTTTTGTTTTTTGTTTTTGTTTTTTTTTTCCGTGTGAAGCTGAGTACTGTTCTTTCATGGTCTGTGAAGAATTGTGTTGGGATTTTGATGGGAATTGCATTGAATCTGTTGATTGCTTTTGGCAAGATTGCCATTTTTACTATGTTGATCCTACCTATCCAAGAGCATGAGAGATCTTTCCATTTTCTACTATCTACTTTAATTTCTTCCTTTAAAGACTCAAAGTTCTTACTATAAAGGTCTTTCTCATTTTTTGGTTAGTGTTACCCCAAGTTATTTTGTGTTGTTAGTTGCTGTTATAAAGGGTGCTGCTTCTCTGACTTCTTTCTCAGCACATGTATCATCTGTTTATAGTAGGGCTACTGTTTTTTGTTGAGTTAATCTTGTATCCTGCCACTTTGCTGAATGTGTTTATCAGCTGTAATTAATTGTTCCCTAGTAGGGTTTTTGGGTCACTTATGTAAACTATCATATCATCTGCAAATAGTGAAATTTTGACTTCTTCCTTTCCAGTTTGTATCCCCTTGATCTCCTTTTGTTGTCGTATTGCTCTAGCTAGAACTCCACGCACAATATTGAAGAGGTATGGAGAGAGTGGACAGCCTTGTCTTGTTCCTGATTTTACAGGAATCACTTTGAGTTTCTCTCCATTTAATTTGATGTTGGCTGTTGGTGTCTACCTTGGTTTCCATTCCTAGGGCCTTCATCCAGTAGCTGTTCAAAGAAGAAACAGGCACCCACAGCTAAGCACTGAACCATATTCCTGGAATCCAATTGTGGAGAAGTAGGAGGGATGAGCAAATGAGCCAAGACAGTGCTGCAGAAACCTGCAGAAACAGTTGACCTGACCTAGTGAGAACATGGAGACCCTAATCATAAAGCTGGGGAAACAGCATGTGGGTGAAACTGAATGTGGGTGCCACCTAGAAGGCCAAGACTGTCTATGGGACCTCTAATAGTGGAGCCAGTCTTAACTCTAGAGCACAAATGGACTTTGGGAGCCCATTCCCTATGGAGGGAAACTATTTCAGCCCAGATACAGCAAGGAGGGCCTAGCCCCTCCCCCAAATGATATGACAGACTCTGAAGGTCCCTAGTGGAGGGTCTCACTATCCCTGGGAAGGAGTTGAGGGATGGGTTTGGGGGATGGGGGGAGTGGGGAACATGGGAGGGTGGGAGGGCAATGGAATGGGGGGATGCATATGCAAATATGAGTAGTAATTAAAGAATTTAAAGAAAAAAGAAAGTATGTTTTTTATACATGTGTCTTTATTGGCCACAGTTACTTGAGGGGGTTGAACTGGGAAGAGTGGGTGGCACCGATGCCAGGCCAGTCATGCTTCACGGGCTTGTAGGTAATAGAGAACTCACCCAGGTAGTGGCCGATCATCTCTGGTTTGATCTCTACCTGGTTGAAGGTCTTGTCATTGTACATGCCCACAATCTCCGGCAGGATGATCATGTCCCTCAGGTAGGTCTTCACTACCTTGGGCTTCTCCATGGGCAGTGCCTCCTTCTTGGCCTTTCTCAGGTGCTTGAGTAACGAGTGCTGCTTCTGCTGCAGGCTGCGGTTCAGGCGTTGCCTCTGCTGGGTGATGTACAGCTGCACCAGCTGCTCATAGGACATGTCTAGTAGCTGGTCCAGGTCCACGCCGTGGTAGGTGAACTTGCGAAATGTCTGCTGCTTCTTGTGCTCAACTTCAGCCATGTTGGTGGCTTCTAGGAAAAGGAATTGTTGGCTGCATATTTTTAATGATTTGTGTGCATTAATCTTTTGTAGAAATTCATCAAATAGCAAAAGAAAACAAATTATGTCAAATGCTAAAGAGACAGAGACAATGTGCATGGCAATGCATATTGAAGTAACCCTGTCTATCTCATCTTGTTTTTAAATACTCCCAATTACTGAAACAATGGATTTCCTCTGACTGATCAGAACACTTATTAAAGGCTTGTCTGTGAGAAGGTGGATAATTGGCTTTAACTAGCAGCATCTGGAGGACAGTGGAAGACAGTTCATGTACCATTTGCTTCTGTGAAGTCAGGGGTGATACTTTCAAAGAGTACTGCTGATAATTTTCATCCATCACAAGAAATGCAGATTTACTTTCAACTAATAATCTCAATGAAGTTTTTGTACATTAAATTCCAAAGAGTTTCCAGTACTTTTCTGGTAAGGAAAAAAAAATAACCCAAGGAAGAATTTGTTGTATTGCCTTATTCCACAAAGAAGATTGTCCTGTAGATGTCTCTATAGGCTATCTTGTTTTACTGAGTGGATTCAGGAATCTCCAGAAATGCCAAGAGGGATTCATTTGGAAGGGTAAGATATGACACCAATGCTGAAGTGCAGTACTAGAGAGAATGGAGTAGCAATTCCTTCTAGTTGTCCCTTCTAGTTAAGAAAAAACAAGCAGTAAGGCAGCTGTATTGATCTAAAATTATAGGATGTACAACGTGGTACCAGCTGGCCTGAGCTCCCACTGTCCTCCTGACACTATTAGTTAAAGCCAATTATCCACCTTCTCACAGACAAGCCTTTAATAACTGTTCTGATCAGTCTGTAACTGCTAGGCTTATAGGCATGAATCATTTATTTCCTTTTCGCTTCCTCCATTCGTTTCACTTTCAAACTTCTATTACAACTATGTGGGAAGTAGAATTTATCAGTGCATTCACCTATTGCATTCTTTCTGAAGACTTTCTTTTTTATAATTTTTTATTAGAAAGAAAATTATTTTACATGGCAATCCCAGGTCCCTTTTCCCCCTTCCTCACCTGCCCCCCAACTAACACCCTACCTATCCTATACCCTTTCTGCTCCCCAGGGAGGGTGAGGTCTTCTGTAGGGGGTCTTTAGATTCTGTCATATCCTTTGGGATAGGGCCTAGGCCAACCCCTTTGTGTCTAGGCTCAGGGAGTATCCCTCCTTGTGGGATGGGCTCTTAAAGTCCATTCCTATGCTAGGGATAAGTACTGATCCACTGTAAGAGGCCCCATAGATTTCCAAGGTCTCCTCACTGACACCTACATTCAGGGGACCTGGATCAGTCCCATGCTGGTTTCCCAGCTATCAGTCTTGGGACTAACATTTTTCCTTGTTCAGTTCAGCTGTTTCTGTGGGTTTCACCAGCCTGGTATGGACCACTTTTCTCATCAGTCCTCCTTCTCTGCAACTGTATTTCAGTTCAGTTCAAGGTTGAGCTGTGGGTGTCTGCTTCTACTTCCACCAGCTGCTGGATGAAGGCTATATGATGGCATATGAATTAGTTCCCAGTCTCATTATCAGGAGAGGGCATTAAGGTAGCCTCTCCTCTGTTGCTTAGATTGTTAGTTGGGGTCGTCTTTGTAGCTCTCCAGACATTTCCCTAGTGCCTGATTTCTCTTTAAACCTATAATGTCTCCCTCTATTATAGTATCTCTTATCTTGCTCTCTTCTGTTTTTCCTCCAACTCAACCTCTCTGCCCCATCATATCTTCCTCACCTTTCTTCTCCCCTTCTCAGAAAACTTTCATTGTGCATCTGGTAACATGCCAGGTATTGAGTTATGCAAAGATAACTGACTCTGGCATGAAACAGATGCTTTTGGTAAGGATGACACCAGTTAGATGAAGGTAGGTTTCTTAGTGGGAAAGATGCAGGGATGACATACACAGGAAGGAATTAAGTCTAAATGAAGACATTAAGAAGTCTTAACAGCAATATTAGTAGATTTGTGTCCCTAAAAACAGAGAGATTTCTAGATGGCAGAGGTCATTCTGGAGTAAAGAAACAAACAGTA